CTATATGGGTACATGGAGCCTTTGGGAAAATTGGAAGATTGCGTCCACATACAGACGAAGTAAGACCTGAGCTACTGCAGGCCGTTACCCCGAGGGTCCAAGTACCTGATAATCATATGCTCTCCAAAATCCTAACCTACATAACTACTGTCCTAAACCCAAGTACCTTATAGTTGTTTCCTTTGGACCCTTGGGGTTACAGCTTAAAACCTAAGTCCCAGCTTCAGAACCTAAACCCTACACCCCAGCTAACATGCCGCCCAGGACAGGATAGCCGAGCCTTGATTGAGCTGTCGACACACAGCTGCCGGATGACCAGCACTGCTCCTGTTCAACCAGTGTTGCATATTATCATTTTGTCTGGAAATCCTCGCTTTTTGAGCTCAGTAGCTGAGTGGGCGCACTTCACACGTTTTGGGAGAATATCTCATATAAACTATAAAGCTGGCAGTGCACATGGAAGTGCACACACTTGTGACTGTGGGCTGCTGAACTCAGCAAGTAAGTGAAGGATCTTCAAGGCTTTTCTTAAGCTCGGATCTGCGCATTGAGCTTTTTTCAAATTTCGTTCCCCGGCGTGGCCTTCGATTGCGGGTTCGCTGGCATATCCAATCGTTTCAAAGGGGTCCGCAGGCAGGCTGGCAAGCGCGAGAAGAAGCTTCGAAGGTTTTTTATCTGCTGCGACTTGGACAGGTTTGCCCCTAATTACTCCCTGTAGACCCTAAACCATAAAAAACCGAAGCCCCCTGGAAAAAGGAGTAAAAAAACCTAAACCCTCATGCATGCTGGTGTTTGTCTTGCGGCGAAGTCCGCTCTGCCAAGCGTGCTTGCGGACTTATCTTTCTGACTACGTCTACGTGCGGGCAAGTAGAAAGCACCCGAAGCATCAGCAAGAGGCCTTAACAAGCGTGGCAAGGTCATGTAAGGACCCTATAATTGCATCCTGACGACGTGAACCGCTATAAGAACATTTAGGAACCAGGCTTCACGTCCCTAACTAACGGTTACGGCAAGATTGGGATTCTCTGTTGTCCGTTTCGGGGGTTTGGGTGGTCGGTTGGGCTTGACATATGTACCCGTGGGCTGCATGGTAGTTCGCTTCGGGGGTTACGTTATGGGATTCTCAATATGAGCCCCAAAAAGGAACTACTATGGAGCCTGCGGGTAGCTCTTAAATCGGGTACAGTGCTTAAGCTTAAAGGTTGACCCATGGCTCCTGCTTTGAAGCTACCCCTGAGGGTCCATGCGCTCAAGTAGTAGTATATACGTTGGCCTTACAGTACTCCCTATCTAGGTACATTGGGCCCAAAGTATAGTATATACTGTTTGGGTACATGGACCCTTAGGGTACTACTACAGATAAGCATGGGAACACAAAAGCAACAACAGTTTCAACAAAAATAACCACAATCCTTGTGTCACATATTTCCCCAAGGTACTGCCCCACCTTGCGACTGTCCTACACTCAAGTACCGGTTGTTGGTTCTTTTGGGCCGGGCACTTAGCGTTATCCCAACGGCGGATGATGTGTTTCCTTCTGAAATACTCCTTGCACTGGAGCACATAACTTTCACGTTTACGATCATTGCGAAGTGATATGCTGAGCATGTATAAAGGCATATACTCTACGGAATCGTAGGCTTGGGATAAGAGGCAGAGTATGGAGACAGCTCGTCTCTTCTTGCTGTTGTGTAGGTCAGGTGCGTCTATGATTCCCTATTAGCGCAGCGCAGGCATGCGGCCGCAAGAAAAAGGTCGCAGCCACCACCCTATATAGGGTTTAGGGTTTGGAACTCGAGGTGTATGGTGTATCGTTTTAACCTTCCAAACCCTCAATTTTTCAACAGACCATGCAGTGGCTGAATAGTCTTACCCTGAGTGTCCAAGTACCGGAATACTATATACATTGGCCTTATAGGTACTTTAGGGCCAAAGTACATGCTATATAGGTACATGGAAACTTAGGGTTAAGCCTGCAAACCCCTAACCCTGAAAGCGCGAAATAACAATCCAGATCTCAAGCCCAAGCACAGGAAGCCCATATTCTGCACCGAAGCCGCCCATCCCTGGCCCCAAGTAGCACAAACACCCTGTAGATTGAGGGTTTAGGGTTCAGGGTTTAGGGGTTTAGGGTTCAGGGCTTAGGGGTTCAGGGCTTAGGGGTTTAGGGTTTAGGGGTTTAGGGTTTAGGGTTCAGGGTTTAGGTTCTGGTTTTGCCTGGCTTTGGAGCTGGGCGGTCATACTAAACACCTAAGCGCCCACCCAGAACCCCTAAACCCCTCGCCCTAAACCTTACCTCAAAAAAGAATTGATCGGGACGGGGAGGGCTCCCAAGAGCGACAGGCTTCAAAGGGTGTCGGATTAATTAAAAGTGTAACTCTACAGCTTTTTTTTGGGGGGGAGGTGCGGTTAATGATATAAATCCTGCATTAGCTTAAGGACCCTAAACTATGGGACTTATGGTATATTCTTTATTATGGGTAATGCAGGATTTATGTCGTAGGGTTTGGGGGGTATATTATGCTACAATCATAATGAGGAACCTCAAAACACCATTCTCATAATTAGGGTCCTAAAGGTAAAGGAGGATTTCTATCATCAACGGTAGGGGATCGAAGTTCAGGCTTCTTGGAACGTTCGGGATTCCCAGAGTCGTAGACTCCTCTGGTTGAAGCAGACAGGCTTTAGGGTTTAGGGTTACGGGTTTATAGGGTTTAGTAAGGGTCTAGGGTGTAGGGTGTAGGGTTTAGGGTTTAGGGTTTGTTTGTGATGCGGAATGCGATATTTGATTTCTGACGTCGAGAGTATGCCGCGACGGGTACGCGGGGGTTGTGCAGTCGTTGGCAATATCATTCGTATCTTATATGTAGTCCCTGGTTATCTGAAGACAGTGTTTTAGTTCTCAAGGCCACTACGACACCCCTAAACCCTAAACCTTACACCCTAAACCCTAAACCCTAAACCCTAAACCCTAAACCCAAGGCCACTACGACACCCCTACGAAACCCCTTATCGAACCCACAAGACAAAATGCACAAGAACCTTGCCCTGACAACCAAGCCCTAAACTAGGACCCAGAGTAGGCCCTTATTCCCTTTTTTAGGGTTTAGGTTCCCTTATAAGCCCCTTTAAACCAAAAAGGGCACCCTTTTTATTCCTAGGTTACTCTTAGGTCTAGTAAACCAGCAACGCCCTAAACTCGAAACCGTAAAGTCCTAAGCCCCAAACTCCTAAACCCTCAAGCGGAACCTAAAGCCCTAAAACCCTAAACCCTATTTCCTACGGTTGAAGGAAGCCCATAGCACTCCCATGAATCCCTGAAACTTCCTTAAACTCATAGGGATCCTTAGGGGTGTAGGGGGGAGGGGTGTAGGGGACTATATTTCCTTAAATAGGCCTTATTGGTCCTTATTATGGGCCTTAAGGCCCCCTACCCCCCCTCCCCCTCCACCCCTAAGGATCCCTATGATTAAGCCCTAAACTTCTTGACTCGTGAGGCCCCGTCAGGGAAGCAATAACCCGGGCCACAGTCTATGCCAACAATGCCGGCCGTGCTCTCAGCCCTAAGCACTCCTTGCAGGCTTGCTCTAACCCTAGGGCTCCAAGGACTCATATGGGAATTTCAAAAAAAAAAATTGACGGAATACACAGCGAAGCTGATACTGAAAGGTTGCTACTAACGATGAGCTTTACAGCTCCTGGCACGGAATTTCCGAAAATTAGGGGTACCTTACTTTGGGGTCCTTATAACAAGGATCCTGCTCTTCAGGGTACTAACATTGGTCCCGTATTTTCGGAAACTCCCAAATAGAATAGGTGTTCCTTTAAGGGACTTTAAAGGTCTACTGTTATCAGGCTACGCTATAAGGATGCTATAGGGTTAGGGTCCCCTATTTTCGGAAACTCCCATATAGCCAGGCTTTTGTGCCCAAGGACCGTGCTGTATGCTTCGGGTATTTAGGCAGCTTTCCCAAAGCTCCGGGTGCCCAAACGATGGGCTGTTTAGCAACGGAGAACACAGAATTTCGCACTGCAAAGTGTTGCCGTCAGTTTCCTAGTATTCCTTTTATCCTAGGCGTTTTGGGCGTTTTTAATGTTTAGGTCCAGAATCCCACAATATGATGACTGTTTGAACCCTTAGGGCTACTATTTGGCGTACCCAGAGATAGGCTCTTTTCACCAGGCCTCGGACGATAAAAACAAAAAGGGTGGCACAACACGGTTTAGGGTATATGGGTTGTTGTCAAATTTAGGGTCCTTTTTTGGGTTAATATAATACGGCACCAAATATTTAGGGTACCCAAACAGGGACCCTAATTTTGACAACCTGCCAAAGAGGCTTTGTAGGTTTGAGGGCTTTCGAGTTTCATGATTTCACGCTGGGCTTAACCAAAGGCTCCCAAGGGGGTCATGGTGCCTTCTGGGGGAGGGTTTGGGCTTTGGGGGCTAAGGTTTCACTACGAGGGTCCAGGAGCCTTAGTTAGGGAGTAGGGAAGAACGTTCCGAACTTCATGCGATTGCCGAAATAGTGGACTGGCATGTGGCCCGTCGTACGCTGCTGTAAGCTGCCGTCACTGAAATGAGTGTGTATTGAAAAGTGCTCCATCATGCCGTCTGCCTCTTTCCCCTAAGCCAAAACAACCCAGGCACAAAACCTCGACAGTGTTCGCAGCTCTGGTTCAAGCCAGCCATGTGCCAGAAGTCGTTGAGCCGGTTGGTCTTACCCTAAACCCTAAACCCTCCGTCCCTGCAGAAAGAGGCCCCGATACCATTAAAAAGCAGGGTTGCTCTTCGTAAGAATACACCTTGACCCATAAATCTGCAGCTGATATACTACAGTGAACCCTAGAAAGTTGGAACATGGATGTAGGATGACTGATGCTGGGATCCCTATACTTTCCGTTAAGGGTATGAGGACAATTATGTTCCAACTTTCTGGCTTCTACCTAAAGCCCGAAACCATCTGGGGCTAAGGTAAGTCACTGTAACCGGGGGCAGGAATGACGTACCACCCCATGGATCCGGCTCATCAGTTGCTGCACGTCTGGCTGATCTCTGGTGAAAAGGTAATCTCGCTACCTGAAGAAGAGTTGACAGATGTGCTGTCATTGAAACGGCATCTGCAGACGCTTTGTGGGATGCCGCGATTTAGGCAGCGTCTTCTGCATGAGGGAACGCCTCTTGCTGATGATGTGAAGCTGGGCTCGTTTATCAAAGACATTCAGCTGCTGCTGCTACCTTTTGCACACATGTCCCACGAGCAAACGACTGAGCTCCAACAATCTTTGAACGATGGCCGGATGAAATTTGTGGAGGACATGCTGCTACTGCCTGCAGACCCAAATTCTACATTGAATCGTCCCTATTCCCAGCTCTGCTTCGCTGCTGCCCACGGCCATGAGGAGATGGTACGCCTGCTCGTGGAGGCTCGCAGTGCTCTGTATCCCGACGCTCTATGTGAGGCCTGTAGAAACGGTGACGTGCAGATTGTGTCCTTTCTGCTGGGAGCTGGCGCTGAAACAGACTCAGTTAGTGACCAGGGAACGCCGCTTACGTGGGCAGCTGCAGGTGACAGTGACCGCCACGTGCAGATTGTGGAGATGTTGCTAGGGGCCCGAGCTGACTTGAATAAGACCGACGCAGACTTGTACACTCCACTGGCATCCGCAGTGGAATTTGGCTGTGCCGAGTTGGTGCATGTTCTGCTAGCTGCCCGCGCAGACACTGGCACACTTTGCTCCGAAAGTCAACAGACGCCTCTCTGCTTGGCTGCAGAAGAAGGATGGGTGCCGAAGGTGCGTTTGCTCTTGGAGGCCGGTGCCGACATCGAGCGAATCAGCGCCGGGCAAACGCCTTTGACAACGGCAGTGGCGGCCGGGGAAGCGGAAGTCGTGCAAATTTTGATCGATTTTGGTGCCAGCCTGGACAAGGTCGACGATCGCATGTACACACCTCTAACTCAAGCACTCTGGTGCAGCAACACAGACCTGGTGCACCTGCTGCTTCTCGGGCGGGCGGATGCAGACATGCCGTGCCCTTACACGGGCAAAACACCTCTTTGTATGGCCGCTGGCACGGGGCGTGCGGAGATGGTCACACTTCTGCTTGTGGCTTGGTGTTCTTCTGGTTTGCTCTTCGGACTTTAACTTTTTGGGTTTCTTTTTGAACTATAATAAGGAGACTAAAAGTTTAACTTGTAGGAGGAGTTCAGAAGTCAGCCAAGGTGGCTCGTGCAGACAAAGACAAAAGCAGTGCTCAAGGTACGCCTTTGACTCTGGCAGCCAGCGCAGGTCGCCTTGAGATCGTGCGTTTGTTGATCATAGCTGGTGTAGAGCTCGAGAAAGTTGACTCTTGGAAGTACACGCCCCTGGCTCGGGCTCTTGAGGGAAACCACACGGAAGTAGTGCGCTTGTTGTCGATGGCAGAAGCCCATCGCTTCTAGCAAACGTGCTTACTTAGAAGGCTGTCGCCAGTGTTCCGAAGGAGGACGACCGAAACCCGCACTCTCTGTTGGGTTTCTTAGGTGACTGGTTTCTGGCTTAGCTGGCAGGCTGCCCCGCCATTTTCACGTCAGAGCCGTCCACAGCTGGCCGCATAACCACCTAGTAAGCGGCTGTCAGCGTTTCGCATGCCAACAATGACCCCAATCCCGACGCACCCAGACCTTCCAAAACTCCTTAATTAAGGAATATACCTTGAATCATATATGGGATCCTACTATAATTTAAAGTATACTCCTTAATTAAGGGATTTTGGAAGGTCTGGGTACCCAGCCTTGAGCCTTCCCGAAAGCGGCTGCCAGTGCTTCTCTAGCAAAGCTCCCAGGCCCTCCCGGGTTTTCTGTAAGGTTTATACTTGGAGGACCATGGGACTTAGTAAGTAAGGTTATAAGTACCCTAAGTGGGGTTATAAGTATAGCTACCCTAATTAATTATAACCCCAGTTACTAAGTCCCATGATCCTTTAAGTAGGGCCCTGGAGGGCTTGCCACAGGTGATGTTCAACTCAGCTTGGTAATATAGGGGTCTGGACCGCTCGGAATACTATTGTGGGGGGGGTCCATAGTATAGCACCACAAACCGCCAACACCTGGAACTTTCGGCTTCAACCTTGAGCCATATAAACCCTAGCCTCAGAACGGTAACCTCGTAGCTAACATTAGCAGCTGAATCCATCGCCACTTGGACAGGCAGGGGGCTTCGTAAGTAATTAGGTTATAAGTAGGGCTATATTTGGGGTAACTCCATTTAGGGTACTTATAACTCTACTTATGACCTACTTACTAAGTCCCCTGCCCCTCCAAGTAGACCCTAAACCCTAAACCCCACAGATCTCTTTAAGGAACCCTCTAGATCCCTTTAAGGAGCCCTTTAAGAACCCTTACTAAACCCTGCAGCCAGAGACCGAAACTCCTGAACCCAGAAAGCTCCGCCAAAAAAGCCAAAATGTTGGGACGGAAATCGTTGCTTGGAGGGGCAGGGGACTTTAATAAGGGCTCTTAAAGGGCTCCTTAAAGGGATCTATAGGGTTGCTTAAAGGGATCCATGGGGTTTAGGGTTTATAGGGTGGGCAGGGGACATAGTAAGTTGGCTATAGGTAGAGTTATAAGTACCCTAAATGGAGTTACCCCAATTGTAACCCTACTGAGAACCTGCTTACTAAGTCTCCTGCACCTCCAAGTACCCGTAGGCAAGAGTATTCCTTTGTAGTCCCGGTCTAGAGCAGTATTAAATATATGCTCAAAAATCGCGATTCTAGTTACTAAATCTTCAAGCCCCTACATAGCCCAAAATACAAAGAAACGGCACAAGCTGTTGAAAAGCTTCTTGGAAGATGAAATAGTAAAAGCCTCGGAAATTATGGCTTGAAGCCGGCAAACATACTGAGAGAGCTTGGAAGGCTTAAATACAGCCTTCATGTGCCATCTAAGCAGCGCTACCCACCCCCGCCTGCAAATCAGCATAACACACAAAGATATGTATGTACATATTTATACAGGTATACACATAGGATGCATACCTGGCCGCAAACCCTAGCAGCACCGAACAAAGCACAACTGTTTCCCATGTCTCTCTCTCTCTATATATATATATATATATCTCTATACAGATGTAGGTATGCGTATATTTGTATATATATATATATATATATATAAATATACATATACATATATATATATAGAGAGAGAGAGAGAGAGAGAGAGAGAGAGAGAGAGAGAGAGAGAGAGAGAGAGGGAGAGAGAGGTATGTGCACATATGTATATAGTGGAGAACATGAGCATTTCCCAGGCCTCTACATGTCCGGGGCGGCTCAGCTCTGCTTGGCATCGCTCCGAACCTTCGGCTGGCCATCCGCCGCCAACGTCGGAAGCCCCAGGTGAGGGCCCTTTGGGTTGCCATGTGTTTAGGGTTTTAGGTTTAGGGCTTATAGGATTTATGGGGTTTAGGGGTTTAGGGTTTAGGGCTGCTTTTCGGGTTCAGGGTCTCGGGGTTTAGGGTTTAGGGGTTTAGGGTTTATGAGTTTCGAGAAGGATACCGTAACTTTTCAAGGCTTTTCGTTTATGTTATTGCTGGCCCGGAATTTTAAACTGTCAGTTAATAGGAGCGTTGGTTTCGGTCTTCTTTCCTATAAGCGTTCGTGTGATTTTTGTTTTTATACCGCCACCCAACTCTTAAGGGTCCAAGTATTCTTAGGGCTTTAGGGGTTTGGGGGTTAGGGTTTAGGGATTTAGGGTTCAGGGTCTTGCTTATAGTTCTGGCCCACAAGTCCTGCAATAGGCTACTCGGGAGTACAGGGACCCTTGGAGTTAGCGCTTATAGGCTTCGCAGTCTAAGGCGCCCAGCCCTTCCTTGGAGGATCAGGGGACTTAGTAAGTATAAGGATATAAGTGCCCAAATTGGGGAAACCAAGTATAGTTACCGTATTTATAACCCCAGTTACGAAGTCCCATGATCCATTAAGTAGGGCCAAAATCGAAGTATGTTGGGACGCTGCTGGATAAAATGGAATCCTGGCTGGTGAATGTTTGTAATGATCTTCATCCTTTAAAATGGTATTTCATAGCCAAAACCCTATTCCAATTATCCAAGGATTTATGCAGTTGCTGCACGCCTGAGGCCTACATCACTGGTCCTGGATTGGAGGTGTCCGTTCCTGCGCACACAGACTCGCGGCAGAAGCTTCGTTTGTTAGGTAGAATGTTTATCTTCAAGTGTTCCGTTGAATGTTCCTTCAAGTCTTCCAAACCTGCTCTTAAGTGTCTCTACGGTTTAGTGGGGATTACATGCAGCTCAAACCCTGGAGAACAAAGTCTAAACCCTAAACCCTAATCCTAGATAATACCGGTGCCTCAACTACAACTTGGTAGCTGAGTGGGTAACCTTTAACCCTTTGAGGTTTACATGAAGCAGATATGGAAAGGATAACCTATGTTGGGCCAGGGTACTCACCCCCTAAGACAGGGTAAGGACTAGGATCCTGGAATTTCGAGTGTCGGAGTCTATGATGAGGTTTAAGATTTAGGGGTAGCGGTCTGTCACGGTCGAATGGCACGATTTGGAAACCCAGAGGCTCCATATGTGCCACCATTTCGGAATTAGGCCCTATAAAGCCGCAATATGGATGGTAATTCCATAACAGTACCGTCAACCCTAAATCCAAAACCCCAAAAAACCCTAAACACAAACCCTAAACCCTTAAACTCCTGAGATTCCCCCCCCCCCCCCCCCCAAAGGGTCCCAAGGACCCAATAGTCAGGTACTTAGGTTTCGGATAGTAGTTATGTAGGTTACTATTTGGGAGAGTATATGATTATCAGGTACTTGGACCCTTGGGGTCCTTCCTCTAAGAGCTCCTTTAAGGAGGGTCCCCTGAATCCTAAGTCTCGAGGGTTTAGGGTTTACCACAAGGATGCAAAGGACCCACTAATTAGGTACTGGGTTTGAGGATAGTAGTTATGTAGATAGTATATTGGAGAGTATATGATTATCAGGTAATTGGACCCATGGGGTTTACCATTTAGGGCTTACTCTTCAACCAGCGGATGCTAAACTCTGAACCTACGCCCTACCTTAGGCCCTAAACCCTAAACGCACTTGGACCCTTGGGTTTAGGGTCAGCTGAGGATCGGCAGGACGTTCTGATCTTCCAAGCCACAGGGCGGAAGAGGTCGCTGCAACAGATTCCCTAAGGGTCCTGTGGGTTCCTTTATGGAAGACTATAGGGCTCTTTTAGGGCTGCTTTCCGTTAAAGGTTACTATAGGGTTGTTTTAAAGGTTACTGTAGGGTTCCTTTTAGGGATACCGTAGGGTTCGGTTCCTGTCTAAGGGTCCAAGTAGTGCCATTTATGGCTGCCTAAAGGGCCAAATTTCCCTTAAATGTAGTAGGGTCCATACACCCTTGTATTATGAATCTCTATATGCTCTATGAACCTAAAGCGGTTTTAGGGTTCATTCCGTCCTCAAGGTGCAACCGATTGGTTTCATAAGCATCCACACGGTTGTGGCAGGGGTTTCCAGGCGTTTCGCAGGGTGTGTTGCGGGTGTCGGGTTAGGTGTTCAATTCCTATGCCAGAGCACCTCATAGGTACATGATGGGCTTGAGCTTGCTGTGTGAAAAGGCTTGGGCTTCAGAGTTTTCCTAGAAGTCGAAGGGAAACCCCAAAGTTGCAAATTGGCTGAGCGCCACAATAGATTTCCTCATCCGTTGTAGTGCCTTGCACACTCCTGCATCCCTGATATCTTGATCGCTAGATGCAACCCACATGAGCCACAGGCACCTGCTTGAGAAGCCTTACGACAGAAAGCACCGAACGGTTGGACACCGGAGAGGATGAGTAGTTCTGCTACTCCCCATAGGTTGCTCCTTCTAAGGCACGACGGCGAAGGACTGGCAACATGATGATAGTTACCCCAAGGGTCCAAGTACGTAATAATCATAAACTTTCCAAAATCCTAACCTACATAATTACTATCCTGAACCCAAGTACTTTATTGTCAAGTCCTTTGCACCCCTGGGGTTACTGTCTGTATAGTTTTAGGAACATGCTCTGACTAACGAAGGTTTCTGTGGGGCGTAGAAAGCAATTCTGAATGGACACCGTTGTACTCGGGCCATTTTCGAGATCAGTGTTCTCCCATCCCTAAACCCAAAACTCTAAATTCTAAACCTAAACCCCAAACCCTAAACCCTCAATCCTAAACCCTTAAAGCCCCAAAACCCTAAACCCTTAAAGCCCCAAAGCCCTAAACCCTTAAAGCCCCAAAACCCTAAACCCTTAAAGCCCAAAAACCCTAAACCCTTAAAGCCCCAAAAACCCTAAACCCTGTCAGTCCCAGACATGCTGCTCAGGTGGCAGGCATTCGCCCCGCCCACAGTGGCAAAGGACAGGCAGCGACATGCCCAGAAAGCCCAATGCTCCTTGATACAGCCCAAAGTCTCCCA